CGATGCACTTGCTCCAGGTTATTCTTGGCTGTTCTCGGGGTCTTCATTCGATTGGTTGGAAAAGTAGTGTCCGTTTTGTCTTCCTTGCTGGGAGAATTTGCAATACGAGCCAAAACCATCATAGATGTGACTTCTCAGTCTGGACAGGCAGCGGCTGTACACCAATCTCCCTCAGATATCCGTTCTCTGGACAATGCAGACTTGCGTGAGTCCAGCGATTCGTTTAAGAAAGCCAATTTCCGCACTAGTCCTTGGATCGAAGTTGTCCAGTCATTTCCCATGACTCATGACCGTAGGTGAACAATGGGAAAAATATCGATTTGAACCTTATTCTTCACACTCAGCGTCGCGTTAGTCACAACGGTTCGCGCTCTTTAGCCCATGACGTCACCGGTCATTGCAATTCGAGGCTAAATTTATTCCTCCCATTTTTCATCACCAGTAAGTACGGCCCTGAGGCAAGTGAACTTCTTCACCTGCTTCACCGTTTCTCCGTTCATATGCAAAGCGCAGTGCGCAAAACAACGAGCAAGCACGGGGTTTTTGGTATCAGACACGTTCACACTTGGCGACAAGCCTTACCTTCCCAGAGAGTGATGTAGATCAGTTTCAGAAGATGCGAATAAAACATGGTCGTCTGCAGACACCTGCCTTCTTGTCTTTACATCTCCTACGTTGATACACTCGTCGCACATCAGATCAAATATCAAAAGTTAGCCCAAGTTCCTTGCGGGCCGTTGAGAGTCAGCAAGACTAAAATTTTATTTTGTTTCTCTCATGTGCGAACTTTCGAGGGCACTGACTCAGGTTAATGGAAACATAACGGTTTTAATTTTCTGCAGAATATATATACAGCATGTTCATACCCAGAGGACTAGTTAGACATTGTATTCGTATATGCATTCGAAATAAATCCTTCCAAGCGTGCCTGAGAAACGACTAATTTCCGAGCAATTTTGCTACGTTTTCGACTAGAGTAGAAGTGAAAAAATAACATTTTGGTGATCTGAACAGATGAATCTGCGTAAAGCAAGAACTGGCTCGATAAACTGCTTATGGAATTATAAAAATGTATGGGCAGTGGCACGATAATTCGAGTTCAGCTGAGGAAGAAGTCGAAGCTGCGACCAAAATCAAAACGCCGTGTGTATGAAACTGTAGAAATAATCACCGCCCAAGTTATAAATAAATGTAATAGGATTTTAGCAATTAACTCAGCGTTTGCTTTGATTTCTTCCGGCACTGAAGAAGACGATTCCAATAAGGAAGATTAATGAAATGAGGACTGCTCAACTAGTTCATTTCATCTCGAATTATTAGTTGCGCTTGAATGACATGAAATGTTATAGTCGCAATCAGGCATCTTCTAACAAGCCCTAAATGCTGCAGTGGACCTGGACTCGATACACTGCTGGATTTTGGCAAGTGACTGAGCATAAAATTCTATTACGAATCATGAACACCGTTTGCAGACGAAAGGTGTCAGCGAATATCAGTCGATCAAAGTCTAATTGCTTTCCTTCGGAATGACATTTTCGATTTTCATAATAACTTGTGAAATATCCAAGATTGCGTCTTTTGTGCCGGAAGCTTAAGCGTCGTATTTAAAGAGAAAGGAGAATCTTGTGGCATGTCAGATGCAGTCGACCCTGAAAAGTTGGAGACTTTATTTGCTCATGTAATTCGCGTTCCCGTCAGCAAGTAAAGAATTTGCTGCTAATTGGATATACCAAAACGTTTTAAGGCACACTATCCAAGTCTCCACTGCCCCCCCCCCTCAAAGTTTCATCTCATAGCTTCTGTCCTTTTTAAACAAGTTGTGTTTTGAGAATGTGACAAAGGCTTCTGCGGGTACAAGCTGCTGCAATGGGCTTTCTTAGACGAGTCGCTGGCCTTACAAGTCTCGACATGATCCGGAATACTAATATCCGGGAGAGCCTTCGTGTACAACCTCAGTTTCTTTCTCCAGATTGAGAAGTCACAGCTGCGATGGCTTGGGCATGTGTTGCGAATGCCTCCAGAAAGGAAGGTAAGCAACTTTTCCTTAGAAATCTGACCGGCAAAAGGCCCAGGGGAAGGCCAAGATTAACCTGGTGCAAACATATGGAAGGAGCCTGTTCCAGACTGCATTTGTCTTTTGCTGAAGCTCAGACTCTGATACAGGATCGGAAACGTTGGATGCACTGCCTAACGCGTCTGCCTCAGCGACCCGAAAGGAGAAGCGGCGAAGGAAGATGACAAAAGCTTCAGCATCGTCGTAACGCAAGTATGACCCTTGAATAGAAGCATTACGCAAAAGATTATCCTCATGGTTCTCCAGCCGAACGCAACTTCGTTGATCATTTACCCTGCTGAACTAACATTCGCCGACAAAACAGTCAGATATATCAGACTTCGGAATATCATTGATTTGGCCGCCTTCTGCAAGTTAGCCAATCATCTGCGGTTTAAAGCCAGATTAATGTCAAAGTGGTTTAATGCCTCGACAGAGACATCCAGATGTCTCTTCACGGTAGTCTTGTAAAGCGATAAAAGTATAACTGAAAGGTGCTTTTGGGAGCTAAACCTCATCTACCTCTCCAATGTCCTGCAAGAACGGCGATTGTTTTGATTTGAGCACTATCTGAAAAATCCATAAGATGATATTACCTCCATACATTGAACGCTGCCCTGATCCCTGGATAACACCGGAAAAGAAGTGCACAAGTTGAATCCTTTTGGGTGCTGTCTGAGCTGACCTTGAAATGCTCTCTGATCCTACGGTATGTGGTCCAAACGGTGGAAGAAATAATGGCTGTACTTGGTGATGGGCATGCTGTGTGTGATCAGAAGCGAGGTCAAAGGCAGCGATTCGGGCCTTAATGGGGCCGATTAAACCAGTGGTAATAGCCGTTGGAACTGCGTTAGCAGTATTATTTTTGGTATATCGGCTTGTTTAACCGCTATCTACGATCGATGTTTATCCTAAATTATTTTCTCTAAACATGGTCAGATTTCATGGTTCATCATATTTGCCCTTAATCAATTCATAGTTCCATGGAGTTTGAAAATATTAACAGTTGTGATTCTTTCTGAGGTCAATTGCATGTTCACATCATATGATACAACGCCAGTACTTCAGTAATATGCCATTTAACACTGATAATATGTTCCTGGAATCACAGGTGTATATATATATCACAGGTGTCATGTCATTTTATCACTTTGTAACCGATTCCTCAATCTTTTATTTTCCAATCGAAGTAAACTACCGCGAATAAGTATCTATTATCTATATATGTGGGATGCTGAACAACGAGCTGCTCGTCAGAGTGATAAAATAGGCTGCTGGTACAGTTTGTTATGTGATCTTGGCAGCTGTTTCAGTAATTTTATTGAATCATTTACAAATGAGAGGTGGCATCCTGATCACGCTCTTTTATGAAAACTCAAATGTAGTTTGTTAGCTAACTCGGTAAGTAACAACACTATTTTTGTTTCACAAATTACCTTGCCATTGCGAGAAATACTAGGATAAGCCAGAAACGCCGTCACTCAAGGAACAGAAGACCAGCTGTCAAATTGGAGATGATGGATGATCGCAGACACGCGGTCACAAAGCATCCAAGAAGAAAACAAGCCCTAGTTCCCGACAAAAGAACAATGCGAAAATTCCTCAGGGATCGTGACACTGAAACTTGCAGCAGAGAGAGGTTTACTGCCACAATGATTAGATTGCATGAGCATCGTTATGGAAGGAAACTGGCTGAGAAAATGAGGAAGATGAAGTTTTAATTACCCAATCCTGCAAAAATATCCTCCGCGACAAAGTATGCAACCTCTGCACGAATCGGACAAAGCTTATGACGCCCATCACCCAAAAACTGTTTAATCAGCAGAATTGGCATAAAGTACAAATTTAGCCCCAGGTGTCACAACAGCTGATCGTCACAGAACCAACTGCAGAAACCAAACCTGTCTACCCTGAAGAAGGTAGTGAGACATGTGCAAAAACGCCGGCACTGGTTACCCCACCCAATTATGAAAATGGCATGGTTTTGCATATTTTTCGGTTTTCAATATGATCACCAACGCATGAGCAAAATGCTCAATTTTCGGAAACGATGATCCAATCAGAAAGCTGCCGAAAATCCGCTTGTCTCTGAAAAAGTGACACCGTTTAATCGAGTGTGCACGACCTACGCCAGAGCAAAGCCTTGAACTCAGTATTTATTAATGCTGTGCAGGAGGATGTCTGTTTCAGTTTTCAGCATCAGCAGATATGCAGCGTACAAATGCGAGTCATTATTACCAAATATGTACAAAAAGGAAGATACGATATTCAAAGGGAGAAGAATTTATGAGGGTACGATTTAAGTGCTAGTATCACTGATTTTCTCTGCAGTTCAGTAGGTGTCTTCAGGACGAAAAAGTTTCAGAGTAACAAGATACGTGTAATGCGGATGGGTGGTATCTTGCAACTTCCGTTCGGAGACGGAACTGACGTAGACACGATGCTCTTAGAAACCAGATCGTACTGCAATGCTCAAAATTTCGTGACCAAGGAAATATTTAATTACATTCTTAGATTGCTAAATACAAACCGGAGAATTATGAGTGATAATTTGGAATATATCACCCTTTGTGCAAATCGAAAGCAGATGTAAAATGCGGAGTTAAAATTTAGCCTGCCTTATATAAACCATGTGATCAGAATGTATTAATCTGTCATTAACGACCACGCCAAGGCAGTACTCATTTTTAATCAGCGTGAACGGAGTCTGGATTCGATCAGCCGTAGATCTGTAAAAGCGACTTACAAAAGGAATTCCGCGCGTGACTTCGCCATGCCAATCAGACAGCAGATCACATAATCATTTAATGCAAGACAAGGAATCTAGTAATGAAGCTGCATACCTTCTAGAGGGGGATAAATCTCGGATTCATCACTTGATTCTTGAGAGCGCTAAACTCTAGGAATATGTCGTGTGTAAACAAACCTTTCTGTCATAGTTTAAATGCATCAAAATGACGATAAATGAACGCCATCATTGCTCACCGATGGTTTGTCAGAATTTGCTCTGATATACGCAATATCCAATGCCGATTCGTTGCGCTTGTTGATGAAGTCCTCGAATGCCCTCTTCTCCAAAAGCGTGTAGAGGTGCTTACTGTAAGAAGATGATAGATCTTGCTTGGGAAGTTGCAATATCAGTTGTCTGTCGCGGTACTTTTCACCAGGTGTATTTATTCTGGGTACTTTATGATTTGGAAGTTGTGACATATATTCTTCAACCTAGAATACAAAAAAAGCATGTAAATTAGTAAACAAGTAAACACTTAATGTGTTGAGCACCGCAATTCAATGGAAGCAAAATTAAATGAAAATTTTAGCAGCTGAAATGAGTCTTCCGAGACGAATCACGTGTCTTGACATGGTCCAGAATTTGGATACCTGAAAGGGCCTGTTTGTACAGCCGCTGCTTCTCAAGATTGAGTGGTAACAGCTGTGATGGTTTTAGTACATCTTGTGAATACCTCCTGGAAGGCATAATAACCCTCACCTGCTCGACCGGCCAGCCACAGATTCTTAAGAGAGTCATGGATAATCTTTGGCAAATACCTCAACGAACTGTGCTAGAGACTCAAGCTTTTTTCTATCGAAGTTCTGATGCTGACGCAGGATCAGAAACATTGAAGGCACCTACGACGTTGTTGTCTTTCTGATCAAAAAAAGAAAAAGCGGCTATCGAAGTTAGCTGACTGACTGACTTTATAAAAAATTACCTTTCAGACAAAATAGCGATTGCACTGCTGTACATATTTTATGAATTGCACTTCGCCTACTCATCTGCTGCTAAAGTGAAGTGTTAGAAATTGACGGGGGGGGGGCTGCAACAGCTGGTTTCAGCAGGTTTGTCTTCTGATAGCCTATGACATATGACATTATAATACAAAATTAGTCCACACGCATCATTGACTGTTATTACATAGCAAAAATTCCATTCTGCATCTTTCTGTAATTAATTCGCAATTAGTCAATATTCCCACATGGCTGCTGATGTATCAGAATGTTTTGAAATTTTATTTCAATCAAAGGTTTCTATTAAATGCGGTACAAATAATAATCTGTTTCTGTTTTACCGTTGATTCATATACTGCCCTTTTATACACCTGATTTTCAAACTCGTTTTACTCATGGTATGCCATAATCCTTCAGTGTCTTATACACCTGACACTTCTGCAAAACTTTTGCCATCATCGGAAGAACAAACACAATCGCAAATATATCATCTTTTACATAAACTTTTATACGAATGTTTTGAACAAATCTGCATAATCAATTATATGTATAGAAAGATTTGCTGGAGAGACATAAAGACGACGACAAACTTAATTCTATGTTGTTCGAACCGCAAGGGGAACAAGGTCTCGCAAATGTTTTTATTTTCGCGCATGTGAGTAAAAACAAATGAGAGTTGGAGCACGTGACTGTCGTCACTCAATTTCCTACAGTGAACGCTTGACCATTAAACACGTAGTCTCGGTTTATAGAGTGAGTGTCAGATTAAACTCGTATCGATTAAAAGAACCTCTGTCTTTACCGTAACCAGTTCATATATGGTTGTAAATTTTCAGAATTAAAAGATTGTCATCATGTTCGGTGACACTTATCTCAAGTTATGGCAATACTGTCGAGATATAAGACTGTCGTATTACTCCATTAAGACGAGTAATGCGACAACCTCGCACGCCCTGGTGTCTCTAAACGCAGATTAGTACCTAAGAGTCATCAATGCGTAGGATACATAAACCTGAGTTGCAACACGTAGCATCCAGTAGCCCTTAGTAGCCAGTTCAGAGACCATAAATTTCATGCATGTAAAATTGTCTGTATATTATCTCTGACGAGAATGCTGATGGCATCAATATAAATATTCACTAAGCAATTAGTGCTAATTTACGACAAATTAGAGGCCAGCTTGTGTTGAACTTTTTGTGTTTAAAGGCGTTTTCTCTTTCACAGAATGAGGTGCTGTGTAAATCATTTTGTCCGTAATCTCAGTGCCTCAGACTCATGGCAGCGGATAGCTATTATCTGCTATAGCAATTCATTTGACTGAACTGACAGCTTCATTGACAAAGAAGAAATGCGGTCCCTGCACTTGTCTGAAACTTGCACTAAAAAGCAAGCCCTCCCAGATGGAATAATCATAAAATTCGAACACACTTTAGGAATGGACAGACACTTTAAAAATGTGCGCATTTCGAACGGGATAGTGTACGGTTTACAGAAATTCAACCACAATCAATATCTTAGAGGAGAGCTATTAATTCAGTAAAAAACAAAATAATCAGAGAGTTGATGAGTGGGTCAGTCACAAAACGGACAAAGGATGCAGTAAACTAATAAAGAATTACTGAAATATGTCAATAAACAGTTTTCTCAAGTGCTTATTCAACCTATCATGCACCGTTTACAATGAAACACCACTGTTCCGCGGATTTACGAACTAAGAAACAAGATTATGAAGGCATTGAAAAATTATAATTTAATCGGAAGGATTAAGAAGATTAAAAAACACGTCAGGTCTGGGATTAAGGTCTGTCAAATTGACGATCTGCTGTAGCTAACCCAAATCTGACTGAACAGGATCTTAAGTGCCACATCCTCTCCTGGTCCATCATTTCGAAGCCATTTAATTACTCACCAAATCAGCCAAATTCACGTTCACGAGCCCTCCCTTCCGCGAACATGCGCACAACTCAAGCTATTTCAAGAAGATCGCTAATGTACTGGCAGGAGCAGCGCAAACCAACAGCACAAAATTGCACTCTCTCCACAGGGACTTGGCAAAGTTTAGCATTATTTGTCTGGACTAAACTCGATTCAACCGTTAGAAAGGAGTGAAGCCAACAAATTGGACACCTGACACATCTTTAATTTTTCACGTTATTACAAAACTGGTCAGGCATTTTAATATGCGTACCTTCGCAGACAGTGATTAGATCAGAAGATTTATGCAGAGAGGGGGGGGGGGGCCTGATG